TTTTAATGAATCGCTGTTTTTCTATATGAATTGTTTATTAAGTGGGCGGGGTTTGGAGTTAAAGGGCGGAGCTTCTTCTTAACTTCTTCTTCGAAGTTTAATTTATCCATCCATCAAGTTAGAAGGGTGACTCATTCAATTTCAATTTTTTCCAATTCATTTTTCACCGGTAAATTAAGCCGCTCTTATCTATGGAATTTTAGGGTACTAGGAGAGGAGGTGTCGAAACGTGGCCAAGAAGGATGTAGCAGTAGGTAAATAGAGGAAGTATTTGCAAGTAGTAAGTGCAAAATTAGCAGATCCAGCAAGAGTGCGGGGTTTACGCTAGGGAGAAAAGGAAGAATTCTTTTCCACGTATCTTCGCAGCTCAGAGTTAATTCCTCGCAATGTTTACATGCTAGTAAAATGCGCCGAGTGTAGAAAAGTCCTTGTTCGGTTTGTGGATAGAAGGAGCTGGATGCACTCACACTCAAGAGTGATTAATGAAGTTACTCAACTATAAGTCTCTTATCTCCACCTACTTAGGTCTCAGTAGATCTCTTATCTCCACCTACTTAGGTCTCAGTAGAGTAACGCTTTGCTAGGTAATTCAAGTAAAAAGAATCACACCGAAACCATCAACCCTGACATAAAATTTAATCGAGGACTTCTCTTTCTCTCGATGTTACCCACTTCAGCTTCCCTCGTAAACAGATAGACGGACAGCCTCAGATAGGACAGAATCTGGAGACCATTTAACGGATCATTACATTCCTTCAGCTGAACAGGACATTCGAGAACTTAGATCTCTGTAACATTTCCTCAAGAGTAGTAAAAGCCTCTCTCAAAGGTACCCTCTTGAAGGCTCTTGAAGGCTGTTCAAATCGAAGATTTTCGGTAAGAATATCATTTGTGGCCTTATGTGTCGCGATAAATAAATGCATGCAATTCGCGTAACTTCGCCACGGGGTTGCCCTTCTGATTCCGGTTCAAATAACTCTTGCTTGGGTAAAGACCTGACCCATTTGCATAAATAGCAAACGCGCCGATCGGCTCTCATTTGTGATCAGGGGCGTAAGATAACTTGGCAAAGTCCTCACTACACAGACGTTTCATTCTTCAAGAACACAAGGCCGAGTGAGACAAACTGTGAACAACCGCAGCATTAGATAGCACGGCGCACTCAATATTTTTCCCATATCCGAATTGGAGCTTTTTCATTGGAAAGAGCTTTAAGTTGCGGCCTCTCACAAATCTTTTCGAGAGACATCTAGGAAGACGATACTGTTTTCGGATCCATTTGCAACTCATAATCAACCCTTAATGCCCTACGTATTGTATGTGACCGCTGATGTCAGTCCCTAGTACTCATGAACTTGAGATTCTAATAATTCGATGAGAAATGGAAGACAAAGTGACCCTCATCTCCTATCTTCCGCCCATCCGCATAGTAAGAATCACGCATTTCGCCCGATTATCTGCGAAAAGCATCTCCGGTCAGTCAACAACCACATTATCGAATGAACTTCTTCTAGGACAATTGAGATCGGTTCAGAAACATAAGGCGCTGCACTACTTGGACAGCTTGGTGCCATATTTAGTAACTTAGCTTATAATCCGAGAATGAATATCTTACTTTTCGTATACATATAGCGGCCCTGATCCCTTGGCCCTATGACAACCTCATGCGCAAGCAATTCAGAAGCGTACAATTTCTTTTACAACTCGTCTCCAGCTGAGCATCGTCATTGACATAACAGATTATTCCGCACACGATCGATTCAAGTCTCCGCCAAGAAAACTGGCCTCTATCTGGGAGGAAGGCGGCATACAAACTTGAATTTAATCCCATGTGATCGCCAAACAAGGACTAGCGTTCCCGGATGTTATTGAAGCAGAAGTATGGTTCAAACAATCCAGACTTTGTTTGAACGTCGTCGAAAAAGTCAAGAATTTGTCAAGAAGTAAATTTTCTCTCTTTGGCTATACAATGAAAATATGGAGGAAGAACGGCGGAACAGGTTCAAACTACCAGAGAAGTATTGAAATGTGAAGAGTCAGTGTGAATACGTTAAAAATAATTAACGATCAAGCCATCTATGTCGAAAAATGACGTTTTACTTCACTTCGTATAGAGTCATACTGATCATCTCATCAGGTATCCAAGTATAAACCAGCCATATGATAAAGGCGCTGTGCGTCATCATCAGTATCGCTCAACTCGTCATCTACTTCACGTAACGAGAGTGCAAAAGCTCTCAAGAACTCACACTTTTTTGCAAATGTTTGCATTACGCCCAGTTCTTCCGTAAACAGTGAAAGAGGGATAAACTTCATGCTGAAAACGACGACGACCTGTTTGATCATCGTTTTCAATTTTTGCACGCCATTAGAATTCTTGAAGTTCGGTCTCATGCCAGGTCATTTTCTACAGACCCTCATTCGAAGGACAACAAGAAGAGCCGTTTTACCAGTGGTAATTAGCAATACAAAAATCGTAGCAATACGCTGCCAGTATCTCTTTCTCGGGATCCAATTACAAACGAAAAAAGGTAAAACGCCGTTACATAAGTGAGACCGTTTCTCATACATAACATATGGGTTTTTTACAATGTCAATGGCTTCAGCTACTCCAGCAGAGCGACCATGGCCTACCTGCTAGAGCGCAATTATCTCCCCCCACCGCATAGTTGAAGTTGTTATCTGTTAACAATTCAGGTGCTTTAGAACCGAGATTTATAGCAAAAGACCAGATTGGAAGCGGATGTATGGACGACCAATTCGTACCTTCTAGGAAGGGTACAAATTAGGTACCAATCAGTGTTTTTTGAGTGCAGGTGACGTTAACGTTGAGGTGCTGGGGCGTTCACGCATTTTCACGGAACGAGTAAATTAAAACCGTTTAAAGCAATAAAATGCTATTGAAATTATTTGAAAGCTGCAAATTTCTATAACCGCTGATAAAAATACGTATTCATGACTGAACAACAGTGGACTCTCCGTAGTTCCCGGTATGATTATGATCATTTCCGATGTTTTTTTGTGAATCTCCAAAATCGATGGTGAATTATTAGCTGACGCTACAGCAAAATCGACTTCTGGTCAAATTTCAAACCACAGTATACTTGCGATCATTGGCCCAAATCGCTTTTGCTCCATCTATGTTAAAGTCACCTTCTTTTGAAATGGAATGAATCATTTTNTTTTATACCCCCCTCCCCCCACCTCGGAGCCACATTCTGAGGGCTGGAGGGTGTCATGAGTGGGGTGAAATGGAATGAATCATCACAAGAAAGCATACGACTTAGAAGTCGATTTTGCCGCAACGTCAGGTGATAAATCTGTTATCAATCTGGAAGATTTAATCGAAAAACTTCGAAGTTTCCTACGACCCTTCGAAGCAAGTAGGTCTACATATAGGAGAAACATTGCCGACATATAGGGCAAAATGCTACAAAAATCTGAAAATCAGCCGACTTCCCAACTCAGAACATATACGCATATACGTACAGAGCAGATACTTATCAAGACGAAAAAGCTAGAGTAGTAAGCGAACATGTGCTTATGTCAGAGCAGCAGATGAGTGGTAACACTCCTGCCCCTCTACCACCCTTAAAGTTTTTTTTTACTTCCTTATAATGAGTATATATCTAGATGTCTAACGATGAGCGATTAGAAGAGAGTCCCAAGAAAGTAGATCGCAATTTACTATGTAAAGACATCGTTTGTCTGGAAAAAGTGCATAAGACTCCATTCCAACACCTCGACGGCACCTTCTTCAGATCGCGCAGCTCCTTTCGACTACAGTCAAGGACAACCTCGGATGAAAACACTGCCAGCGTTCAGATTGCGATACCTCAAAAAGCTTAACATGCATGACATCGACCAGTCAGAACCCTTCTACTGTCATGGATGGATGATTGGTTTGAAAAAGGTCGTTCAAGCCGTCTGAATGCATCTTAGGACCGCCATTTACCAAATTATTCCTACGAAACTTGAACCCGCTCTGTGACTTACTATGTAACGCCGAACCTACCGATCCATTGCACATTTATTCCAGACTTATGGCTGACAAATTTGGTCAAATAGGTGTTTCTGTTGTAAAATAGTGAAATTTAGTTTTTGAAACAGTTTCTGGCATGAGTTGTTGTTAGGGAAACTCATCCGAAGAGCATCCAAAGAAAAAAAGGTGTAATCTCGCAAAAAATTACTTATCACTTAGTTTTTGAGGTAACATGGGAATGGACATCACTGCCTCAGATACTTCTTTACAAAGATACTTTTCAAAAGTCTCTGTTGGAATACCGACCAAACCATCAACCATCTTCAAAGATACTTTTCAAAAGTCTCTGTTAGAATACCGACCAAACCATCAACCATCCTTGAAGCCTACGGCGATGCTCGTCGTCGAGAGGCAAACCCTCACAGATCTGGGCTCATGCAAATGTGCTTGCCCATGCGCACCGGTTGTAAGTGACCCTTCAAATTATGGGCAAATATTGGCTTTCTCAAGTGTAACATTCCTCTTATTCCTCTAGACACTTTAAGAGAGTCCAAGTCGTGTGAGCTGTATAGGAATAAAGGAAAATTTGATGTCGAGACGCGAAACTGTTTAGGCCGACGATGGTTGCGAAAGTTGTCAATTCCTGTGGTGGGCGGAATGAATCACAAATGGGCTTTAGACTTCTACTCTTAACAACAACATACTTTAGCGAGAGCATATTATTTGGGTTTACTAGAGGGCGACTTGCAAGGTCTGCAAAAATAAATCCCATCCACATTCAAAAATGTAGCGTCAAGCTCATACACTAGAAAAAAAAATAAACAAGAAGGGGACCTTCGCTCCTATCCTTTATTCCTTCTGATTCTCTCAAACCAAAGAGTAGTCTCACTAGAAGCAATGGGAACTGAACTCAAACTAGAACGAACTAGAACTAAGAGGCTCAAAAGAAGAAAGTTCCGAACAGTTACTCTCCCTATTTTAACTACTCAGGTAACGATTTTCCTGCATTCCAGCCAGCCATCGACCATGTGAAAATCTTATCTTAGAAGTCTTGCTCAGCTGTCATTGCATTCAGGACATATCTATATCCCTACCACATTCAAGGACTAATTCAATATTCTTACAAAATCATGCTGTAACAGCAGATGCTGTAGGCATGCAAACGACATCTGCCGCTTCGTTCTTTATGTCTTAGAGAGAACTGTTCTTCTGAGCCATTTGAGAAATAAAAAGTTGTTTGTCGCCAATCGATCTCCCTGTGACAGCGATTTTCGAGAACAGACCGAGGATCCCGAGGATCATCCGAAGGTTTCTCATTACTTCTAGAAGTTTGACGAGAGCAGTAACCTCCCAGGTGAAGGGTCCAGTGAGCCTGCTTCCTATAGGTTACCGAGTATCGCAAGTTTACCGGTTCTTGCACTCGAAGGAGAATCTTGAGGAGCAACCCTAAACGGGCTATTATTAGCCCTCAGAGGAATCCATTATCTTGTCCGCACTCTTGATGAAAAGCATTAGGGTATAAACCGAATATTACTGTATCCATAAATTGTTTTCAACTTTGTACAAGTGCTGTTTTTTGTTCGCTTTAATCATGGCTCATAGAGCGACAACGACACTGCAGCGGATTGTTAAGCACAGTGGAAAAAGAAACGCTGTCGGACGAGTAACACAATCCCAAAAAGTATATGTCCCCATTAGTCAATGACCAAAGCGAACCAGCCATTCTTCGCTGACCGAAATTTATGGAACTGCTTTTGTTGGAAGAACCTTGCGCCAAAGCCTTCAGGTTCTACCACCAAAAAGGGAGAAACGTCTGTGATTCGATTTAAAAACTGTTTAGTGGCTATTTATTCATGACGGGAGGCCCCTATTAGCCGTCTCGGTCAAATGCCTTTCTCCGTCAACGGTGTGCTGACAGGTGTCGCGCGCAAGTGACTCAAA